TGGTCATCATACTATATCTCCTCTACAAGGAAATGGTCGTTCTTCAAGTCGTTCAAGTTCTCCTGTAAGATCTCCTTTAACTCGTGCCCTTTCTCCTGAAAGAATAAATCCTTCAAATATACCACGTCCTGTTACCAGTATGGGAATTATTAATAGAGCTCCATCTCGTGTTGGTATGAGATCATTTTTACCTCAACCTAGTACTCCACAACCAGGAATGGCATCAAAATCCCGTTTGGGAATGATTTCTCCTCCTCCAATGCGACGCTATCATCAACAAATAAGAACTCCAACACCATCATCCGTTACAAGCAGTTTATCTCGACCAATTACTCCTGAAAATGATGATCGTCCAATGACTCCATTAACTGAAAGATTATCAAGTATGTCCGCAGTTAATGATCGTAATTCACATTATATACCACTTAAAAATGATCCACTTGACATTGAAGTGGCGAAAATTGTAAATGCTTTGCCACTTAATGTAAAAGTGGAACGTGCTCCTGGTGGTGGTGGCAAGTATTACTTTGGCCGTGAAAAAAAAGTATTTAGTTGTAAATTAGTTAATTACGCTTCAAGCAATCGAAACAAGGTTATTGTTCGAGTGGGTGGTGGTTCCCAAGATTTGGATATGTTTTTATTAGAACATAGTCTTAGTCTTACAAGCGTGAGAGAAGTAAGATATTAAAAATAAACCTACTTTGGAAATTACTTTTTATAATTTCTATATATAGATAGAAGAGTTATTTATTATTAAGCATTGCATTGTTCTAACATCATTTACTCAGTACATCCTTTTTTCTTAACTATGTTGGTTGCTGTCACTATTATCATTACTGCTCATCATTTGGTGGTATTGGATCAGTCTATCTTTTATTCTTCCTTTTGGTTTTTCTGTATATACATAGACATTTGTGTTTTTTTTTTTTTTTTTTTCCTATATTAACTATTCGTGATACTTATCAAAACCAATTGGTTTAGTCTCTTAATATAAATTAAAAAAAAAAAAAAGAAAAATACTATATATATCGAATCATAAAAAATTCTTGAATTTTTTTTCCAAAAAAATTATTTTAACAAATGAGACCAATCTTTATTATTTTCTTAATGAAAACTCTATTATGATATGATACAATTAATTTAACAAAATAGTAATAATTCACTCATTCTTGTCGCAATGAACTTTTTATCGTGTGTTCATCAATATCAATAGCTTCCCAAGGATAAACCAACCATTTATCAGGTGTTTCTTCGGCGGCAAAATATCTGCCTTCATTAACTATACTAGGATCTGGTAATTCCATTCGTTTTTCCTTCTTTTTATTATGAAGTACAAATACTGCAAATTTAGTTTCTGGAACAGGTGTTCCTGCAGCATTTGCTTCTATAAATTTACGTTTTTCTTCTTCAATATCTTTAAGTAGTTCTTGAATTGCATATGCAAGAGTTGTGCGAGTATCATCAACCTCATCTACGATAAGGATGTTTTTACCGAGTAATGGACAAGTATCGGCATATGATGGTCCGAAATGAAGCCATTGAGTTTTTATCACTTGTGCTCCAACTATCTCAGGATCTGATGATGAATCCGATGTGGCAAGATCTTCGTAAAGAGAGAGGCCTATTGCCTGGATTGGAATATTCTTATTATTCTGACGTTTTAGGAAGGTACGCTTAATATAATAATAAAAAAATATGTGGATTACTTAATAAATGGTTATCATAAAGCAAAAACTTTTAAAAGTTGATAAAAAGTTATTCGAATTCATAATTAGATTTTCTTCTCCTTTAACAACCAATTTTAAGCTACAACTCTAAGTTACAAGGTATAGGAATGTCGTATTTACCAGAATTCGAGCGGGTATGAACCCACCTCCACCTATAGCAATCATAAGATCTGGTTTATATTTCTCATTTATACGATACCGTTCGACTGCTTCTTTTGTAAGCTTATGTACTTGATTATATGAAATGTAAATTTTGTCATCGTTTTGCATTTTGAAACTAAGGTTTGGAATTATACTTTTCGAAAGAATTTTCAGATACCGAAAGAAATAAAATTTACGTGCCACAAAAAATCTTTCGGAGATACGTTTCACGTGATATTGAGTCTGATTCAAAATCATACATTTTCACGTGTAAGGAACAGCAATTACGATAAAACACGAAAATAATTTTCTTTATTGGTTAAAGGCATGAATTTATCAACAAAGAACTATATGATATATATGCAACAAAGTTAGAAATAGTGACACAACTAACTAATTTTGTTTAAAGTTGCCAAATACTAGTACGTACGTACATACGTAGAACTTTGATATATGCATATGCATATATGTATTTTTTTCAGCCTAAAAGTCTATATGTAGACATGCATTACTTGTTTAAAAAAAATCTAAATAAGTTCACATAGTTATAGATTTTTTTCGTATTGGTATTGATATGAAACGCGTTTATTTACCATATGCCACTGACTTTAGTACCCGAGTACTACTCTCGAATTTGATTAGTACGTATTGTACCCTCTTAACGTTTAAATGCTAATTACACAGATGCTAATTACAGGGGAGGTTATAACAGTCAGAGAACATGTTATACCTGTTGATATTTGAGTGTTAGTTTATAATAAAAACTAATAATAAAACATATAAATTTACTATAAACTTTAACTCCACATTATTTTTAACTTACAAATTATCTTATTTTTAAATTTTGGGATTAAGCATATTGAAAATAGTAGATTAAGAATATTTAGAATACTTTTTTTAAAATTTTGTAAAAAATTATTTTCTTAACAAAAGTTTATTAAAAGAAAAAAATTTCTAATTATAAGGATATTTTATCTTAGTAAAATAAAAAGTTTGCTATATACAAACATTAAAATTTTAAAATTTTTAGTTTATTTATATAAAACTTTTTTTATTAATAAAATAATCTGTTTTAATCTTTTAAATAAATTTGTTCAGTATATAATTTTACATATTTTGTATTTTGCTAAATTTGTTTTTATAAATTTTTTACTAAGTAGTGGAAATAACATAATTATGTTATTTCCACTTAGTCTAGATTATTCTCACTCAGGTATGACGACAGAAATGTGTCACCGTCATCAGTGTTGTGATGACAGAAATGCATCACCGTCGTCAGAGATATATTAGTATTCGCTTTATTATTCGAGTGATGAACGATTCTCGCCTGTGTCATCATTCGAGTGACAAACGATTTGCGCTTGCATCATCAGATATATTAGTATTTGCTCCATCATTCGAGTGGTGAACGATTCACGCTTGCATCGTCATTCGAGTGACGACAGAAATACGACACTGTTGTCAGTGTTCTTCTGCGTTTAAAATAGATCTAATCACATCCAAAAAAAAATCCGTCTAGGTTTCGTCTAGGTAAAAATTTGTTAACTTGGACGGATAATGTTATAGAAGAAAAAGGTTAAATTTTGTTTTACTTGTTCTTCTATACTTGTTCCATTTTCGTTTAAGATGTCTAGATAAAAAATAGAATTCTAGGAAAAATATCAAACTCTTTTCTATAGTATATAATATATATATATATAAGGTATATTTATAATATACGTTCTATACACATAGATAAAAAATATAAAAGTAAGAAGATTGAAAATTTATTTAGACAACCTAGACAACTTGGACGGCTAGTCTAAAACCTTTTTTTTTAACTCAAAAACATCATTTAGCTATTTTTTTTTTGTCCAGGAAATTTGTCTAAGAAAAATTTACCTAATCAACCTGGACGAGACCTCAACATATACCTTCATACTA